GGAACTATATAAGAGAACATATCCCAGTAGTGGTCTAAAAAAAGTCGGAGGAAAATTACCCTTTCTACCTACATGTACGTTGTGCACTAAAATAAAATACTTTCACAACAAAATTGATATAAGCTTACCAAAAGACGAGGAAAGTACTAGTATCATATAGTGGTCACATTTTCAAAGTTTTGTATACAGTGTTCGTGTGATAATCTGGACAAAGACTGACCAGAGCAAACCAGAACATTTGGGGGGAATTTAGTAAACCAATAAAACACAAGATCTCAAAACTAAAACCCAATAGAAATAGAGAACACATAGAGACTTATGGCCAGGACCTTAATTATGACCCTGCAGGCGTTAATCAGGAGGTATGTTACACGCTAGTGATTTTATTAAACGGAAATTAATATCTTAAAATAAAATATATACATGAAGAAAACACGAACATATTATGATCATATGTTCATTATTTTGTTAAACAATATATGAAGTCAAAGATCCAAAACCATCTATGTAACTCAGTGCATGGCGGATCTACATAAAGACTATCCATCTTATTCGGTGGCGGATCTATAAGGGGAACACACTTTTTCGTTCCGAAATACGCATAAATATAAATTACAAGAGTGAATGGCCGGCCTATTTTGGAGTAAAAACAATTTTTGTTTTTTTTTTCCCTATAGACATGCGTCTTCAACAAATGGAAAGACTCCCCCCTTATTTAGTGATTTACACCACTTAGCAATTAGCAGTACTTAAGTGACAACGTATCGATCTATAGTTGCCCTCTTTCCCCCATATCAGCACTTACAACACTGCTTTTTAGCTCTGTAAATGCTCAAGTGAGCTTTTTCCATTGTCTGTCAGTCTGTAAACTTTTACCATTTTCGACTTCTTCTTATGAACCAAAGAACTAAATTCAACCAAACTTGCCCTAAATTAAGCATTCTTTAGTGTAGGGAATTCAAGTTTATTCGAAAGAAGAGTCATGAACATCTTCTTTTAAAAAGAGATAATTAGAAAAAATTGAAAATATGCTAGCATCTTTAACAAGAGGCCCATGGACCACATCACTCACCTGAACACTTTGGCTATAGAGAAAAGCAGAAATCAGTTCAGTATTGAAAAGTTTAAATATATATCTCCTCAATTGGGGAGGCGGGGGCAAGATTTTTACAAACTTGAATCTATACAGTATGTGGATACTTATATATATTTTGACTAATCATGGCTTTAGAAGACTTTTTTAAAAAAAAAAATCCTATATATTTCTACACCAAAGTTTGATCTACTATTGTTCCCCCTACCCCCGAGGGTCATTGTTTGTATACTACTGAGGATGCATCTATATTGATATGAACAATCTTGATGTTGCTGTTCTTGAGAAGAAGACTTTTCAAAGATATTTCTACATGTACATGTATATTACGTAATTGTCACGTGATATTTCTCTATACATGTATACATGTATCGACTCGATATATATATATATCCCAGTGAACTTGAAATAAAAGTTACCACAGCCTGACACATCCGTTTCACTTTTGGATATTTTACTAGAAAAAGACGTTAATGGTAACCTAACAACAAAACTTTATGATAAAAGTGACAACTTCAACTTTTCTATCGTCAACTTCCCTTACTTACGTAGCAATATGCATTTATCACCTGTATATAGGATTTATATCTCCCAGTTGATTCGATACGCAAGAGCATGCTCCACGTACGAACAATTTCTAAAACGAGGCAAGCTATTCACAAACAAGTTGGTGAAACAAGGATATCAACAGTCTCGTTTAAAGTCATCATTTCGCAAGTTCTATGGTCGATACAATGACCTCAGCAAATACAATCTATCATTAAGTTGAATGCTGACTGACATATTTCATACTTATTGTTAGGCCATTTTTTAAACACTAAATTGCCTATGGATTTTTCCGTTTGAACGATCATGACAATGAGCACACTGCTGGTGTGACCTGTCGACAGGGGATGCTATTTCCTCCATGTCACCTTATCCCATGCACCTCTGATGTATTTTAGAGGTCCGTGTTTGCTCTGCTCCCGATTTGTATTGTTTCAATGGACTTTTGAGTTTGATTACTGTTCGTTTTCTCCATATTTCATGGTTGAAATTTTTTCTCCGTTCTTTTTTATACTGATTTAAATTATATATTTATTTTTACTCTTCAAAACACATTCATTCTATCAATTTTTCTAACATGACTTTCACTTGCAAAGTGTCCCCGTAAAGTAATTTATGTCCTCAGACAGACATGAGCAAAGACTGAATGCTTTAGGTATATAGATAATAATGGGGGAGGGGGTTTAACATCTACTGTTACAAAAACAAACAAACAAACAAACAAAATGAAATCTAAACAAATTGCCGTAACCTGAAAACCCTATTTCGTTGTGGTAGTGATGGAGGGATGGGAAAGGAGTCGACACTTTCCCTTAGTCAATTTTGTTCAATCTGTTAGATGACTTTCCTTACATTTTGAAAGGGGTCTTTGTTTCTTGGAGAGGTCTGTGTTTCTTAGGGGGTCTAAGGTCATTTTTTTTTTCACTACTTTAACATAGATATTTTTAAAATTAACTCTGAAAATTCCAGGGGTATATAGGAATCACACATATCCCATAGATCCGCCCATGAATGACCCGGAGCTTTGAAATTAAATTCTAATATGTTCTCCCCGAGGGTAGGGAACCTCTACTCTCCACCCCAGTCATGTATGTTTCAGTCATTCCGAAACTCTGCTAATCTTGGTGTCTGTTTTGTTTTACCAATTTTTCTAACTCTAATTTTTCTAACACAATTGCATGCCCCTCCCTCCCTCCCCCAATAATTTATACGGATCTATTTTGGATACATGTGTACATCATTTTGGATATAACTGACCGAGTTAATTGAAGTGCTGGATCGGCATCTATTATTTACAACGAATCACTGTGCAACATGGCTCACAACCCAGTAAAATCACTACCCCAATAAAACACCCAAATCTACTGCTCAGTAATATAGAGCCTGGATAAATAGATAAAATCAGGGATATAGCCTGGATAAATACATGTAGATAAATCACGGATAGAACCTGCATATAAATAGATAAATCAGGGACATAGATACGCAACTGTTCGAAATCTGGCGATCCTTATTGTTTACTTTTTCTCGCACTTTTTAAAAATCATTAAAATTATCAGTGCTAAGGAAGTGTAAGGGGCGAGATCTATTAAATTCAATGTTTGCCCCCCCCCCCCCAAAAAAAAAAATTATAAATAAATAAATAAAATTAAAAAAAAAAATGAATAAATAAATAAAAAAATAATAATAAAAAAATAAAATAAATAAATGATTAAATAAATAAAAATCCACATAGTTTTTATCAATACTTAAGTACTAGTATTTATTATACAATAAATAGCTTACATGTATATTTTTTATAGTTTTTATTCACAAAAAGAAACTTTTTGAATAGCAGTAATATATAGTCTCATGTTGTGCGCTTTTTTATGCTATTTGCAAAAAAAAAAAAAAAAAAAAAAAAAAAAAAAAAAAAAAAAAAAAAGGGCTCTAAATGCCACTCCCCAGTTATTATAATAATTTGAATTTAATTATTAGTCCACTACCGGTGAAACCGGAGGGGACTATAGGTTTCCTCTGAGTCTGTCCGTCCGTCCGTCCGTCTGTCTGTCTGTCTAGCTGTCCCTCTGTCTGTCTGTCAGTCTGTCCCACTTGGTTTTCCGCACTTTTTTCCTAAACGCTTGCAGATATTGAGCTTATTTTTGGTATGTGAGTGTATCTTGATTACTTATAGACCAAGTTTGCATTTCGTTCCGCTTCAATGATTTTTGACGGAATTATGGCATTTTCAATTTTTAGCGGGAACCAGATTACACTTGCCGGTAGGGGACTAGTATTGCTAATGCAATCCTCTCAAAATGCTTAATTGTTTTAATTAGTCATCTATCTTTTGATTTCGTCGCTAAAACCTAAAATTTCATTTCATAATAACAAATTATTCAGAATGTTATTTATAATGTCTATGGATAATTTTTTTTGTACCAAAAATTAAACTACAAAGGTTTACAATCACTTACGGCTACTTCTTATTGATAGGACCTATCACAGCTAAAAACACCAGAGGAAAACAAATAGATGAAATATGTGGAGATAACGAACAGTAGCCGAGCTCAAAAGTCCATTAAACATTACAAAATAGGAGCAAAGCAAATACGGACCTCTAAGACATCAGAGGTGGGATTAGGTGCCATGGAGTAGTGAGCATTCCCTGCCGACCGGTCACATCCGCCTTGTGCTCCTTGTCATGATCGGGAAATAATGGAAAAATCCGTTGATAATTCAGTGTGTAAATATAATGGCCCAACAATTAGTATGAAAAAAGTCAGTCAGCATTTGATCTATATTACAAAGCCAAGCATGCAAAACACATGTACATATATTACACTCACGTGGAAAATAAATAAAATTTATGCAATATTCTCAGTGATTAATACAGAAAAGGAAATTTTTAACACAAGTTACGTAAAACGTTGGCTGGAATAGGACATGGTATAAGTTTATATTTTTTTCATTTCTGCCAAGTTTTGGCTACGAATATAATGTAGACCAAAAGATATTTCGTGGCGACGAATTGAAAAAAAATCTCATGTCATTTCCCATACCACCCAACTTAGTATATCATGTATATCACTGACAACAATTAGTGCAAAAACCAATTTGGAGTAAAACATACCAGTGCGAATCATTCATGGACACGAAACATCCAGGTACCGATTCAAAAACGGCGTCTACTTAACTTGTACCTTGATCGATTCACACCGAGCCTTTTCAGGGTGTCCCCTGCATGTTGTTTAATTTACCCCACTGTATTTTTAACTCAATTTCATCAACAAGGAAATTTGACCAATTCAAAAGTTTTTTTTTTAGCCAAAGTATCATTAAAACACCTCATTGTTCTAAGCACTTTTTTTCGAGGGGACGATATGATCCATCCTCTCATTTGCACCACAAAAATGTCTCTTCGTGGACTGTCGTTTAAAGAAGAGAAAGGGAATTATACCTTAAGATTGGATCCAAATCAGATAGAAGACATAAGGTTTCTGAGCTACTTTCCTCCACCCACGGGCAAATCAGAGAGTGGACAGTTAGAGGAATGGGGAGATAGAATTCGTTTTATCGTTGCAGATCTGCACAAACTTCTGCAACTGAGCCACGAGAAGTTCTGGTGTCAAGCAGTATTTGATGCATCCCTTCATAATTTAGTAGAAACCTATTTGAAGAATGCTCCAAGAACCCATGATGTGATTTCATTATGTGATCTAACTGAGGATTTTCAAGAACAACATGCTGAGCTTCACAAATTGATCTTTATGACTTGTCTCAGATTTGCTACTCATAAAGAGGATAAAGGACACTCCATAGCGCCATCTGTGTTTGGTGAGATCATCTATGAAAATTACATCTTTGACATTCCAAAATTGTTTGACTTGTGTGTATTATATGCTGAAAATGGGCAGATTTTGTCAAAAATGATAGAAAACATATTTAACCAACAGCCAAAGTATAATGAAGACCTGTGTTGTGCAATTCCAACGATTTTCCATGTATTACAAGAGATGAGAAAGGAATGTGGCATGTCTCTGCCATCCACAGAGGGAAGTGAATCACCAAAGAAGACAAGTAATGTCAGTACAGAAGAGATAACTATAAGTACACCTGAACTACAAGATCTCATCTTTTATCTAGCAGATATTGGAAGAACACTTTCTAGTTTTTTGGATGTCTACCCACCAGCATCACACATTTTTCATGAAGAATGCTTCATAGGGAAAATTTCAGAGGCGTATGATTTGGTACCAGCACTGTTAGCTGTTATAAAAAACAGGGAATTTGAGAGCTACACGCAAAAGAAGCTGTTGCGGAGAAAACTGGCACAAGCCAAGAAGTTCTTGATGTTAACTGTTCATTTGATTATAACTCACTGCTATTTAAACCCCATTCTTGAAAACAGTGGCTCTTCAGATGAACACGTCGAGGGATTCATTCAGACACTTTCTGGCTTGCTTAATGAACGACGGTTCCTGGCAGACTTTGAAAGTTGTCATCCTTTTCAAGACTATGCAGACATTTTAACTCAGTGTCCATGTGACATTGATGAAAAAAGGATCCAGTACATTCAGGAGGCCTTTAGCTCTGCCTTTGCCACCTATGGAAAGAGGAAGAAACCCACTGGTGCCACCACAAGAGGTGGAAGGACCTCCCCAGATGGATCCCCGGGGCCGATGGAAGAGGATATTGCTGGTGGCACTGTACCCATGCCCATCCAACAACCAGCAAATAACACAGAAAATTATGACTTTATGGGAGCTTGCGCTCCAAGGAAAACAGGTGTAGAGTTGGACTCCTTGATAGCAGCAGTAAAAGATTTGTTACCTGACTTAGGAGAAGGATTTATAGAGCTGTGTTTAGAGGAGTATGGATATGACATTGAAAAAGTCATCAATTCTGTCCTTGAAGATAAACTGCCACCATCACTTGAAGATTTAGACAGAAGCATGGCTAGACAGCAATATGAACAGTCTGAAGACTTAGTCATTTCACAGAGAGCTAATGTATTTGATCATGATGAATTTGATGTATTCAGCAGGGATAAAGTTGACATGTCAAAGGTTTACAAAGGGAAGAAAGGAAAGACCGATACTGTGGACCTGGATAAAAATGACATGGCTTCATTGAATCCAAAATTGGCAGAGAAGTATGGATACGAAATGGTAGAAGTAGAAGATGAGCTGTATGATGATGAATATGATGACACTTATGATACAATTAATGTTGGTGCTGACGATGCAGATTCGGCTGATGAATTGTCCCAACGGAGGCAGTTTACAGTTCCAAGAGTGTTGCAACAAAAACAAGACGTTGTAACCGATAGCGATGAAAGTTCAGAGGAATTGTTCGAGGAAACCCCAGTGAAAGATGAGTTTGTTCCTAATCCAGCTTTGATTCGCCAGAGAGCCGAGGAGAGAGCTCAGTGGAAAGCTCAACGAAGGACTCAAGGTCAGAGGTCAAACTTCAAAGGTCAACAACATGAACAAGAGAAAAAATATGATGTCAAAGGTGAACCAAAGGGTCGTGGGCAGTCAGACGAAGTATTGAAAAATAGAGCTTGGAAAGAAAAGCACAAGTCCAGTCGAGCTAATCATAATCGAAGATATTTTTCAGACAAGAAGAGAATGGGATTTGGTGGCCCACCAAAATGATTCCTGAAAACTGTTCTGTGCAAATTTTGAGAAATATTTATTAAAACTTTAAAAATGAATGCTTTCAACTTTGTATTCTTACGCAGTATAGTATTATAACTTAACTTACTACAAAGGGACACTTGAAGTGTTTTAAGATTTTAGAGAATGTTAAAGCTAAGTTAATGTACATGTAGTTGTAAGAAGAGGCTCATTGGCCTTGATCTGATGAGAAACCTAGTCATTCAGCAAGAGTTCTAATGTGGCCTGACAGTCATACTATGTATGCTTATTTTTTCTGACTCCTTCAATTTGAACAAGAAAATTTAGAGAAATTGTGGTCCCTTGCTTTTGGGGTCTTAATTTGTTGGATGCGGCAATGATTTATGGCTTAATTAATGTAACTGTTAGTCCAGTCAATGATTTTTAAACATAATAAATTGTTTTGTTATAAATAAACTCTGGAATGTATAAAAATATGTGAAGTAAAATAAATCTTACAAAATTGGAAGAGAGGAAAGCATTTTCTATAAAATTACTAGACAAGAGGGGCATAACTTGTTATCGTAAATTTTGGATAAAATCTTTTTCTACCTTGAAGGAAGAGAAAGTGAATGAAAATGTATATATGTTACATTTATAGATGCAGTGAAACATTTTAAATCCAGCAAAATTTTTTTTTACAGATGTTTTGGCCCATTTCAGAGAGTATGTGTTGCATTCATCACCTGGTAATGAATTTTTTTAAGGTGTAGGTTATTGGAACATCAGTCAATTTTTGTCTTTGAATCTATGCATAAGGTTTTCTCATAACATTTAGTTTTATATGTTCTTTATGAAGTGATAAATGCGTACTAAATCACAATCAAAGGAAATTTATATACAAATTGAATGTAATTTTTTTTTCTTTTCTAAACTCTATCTATTAAAAAAATACAAACATTTTCAGAATTAAAAAAAAGTAATGTAGTTAAATTCAAAACATCCCATTCAAAGAACAAGGTTCACTTAGGGCCTTTTTTGGCCCTGTGAATTTCTGAAAAACTGAAACTCCTTAGTTTTAGTTGACAATGCATTAAATTTTATTTAGACATTTGGCGATTGCGAATCTGCCAAAAATGACGTAATTTTCTGGCTAGTCAATGCAATGCAATGAAATGCGTCATTTTCCTCATATCCTGAACAATTCTACAAAAACAGCCAATATTTAAAGATATTTTTTCGATATTTAATATAGAGCGCAATCTCTGATCTAAAATATGCAATTATTTACTGATAGAACCGTTTCTGAAGATTACAAAACATGTTTTATTTTTTAGATCAGAAGGTGCGCTCATATTATTTTTCGTCTCTGAAAGTACTTAAATATACCTCTTTTCCTTAAAATTCAAGAACATTGCAATTCCATAAAGCTTGTTTTCCAAGACCTGGACTTTAAGGAGAAAAATTTTAATAGAAAATGAAAGCACTAAGCATCTACTTTATCTTGATGTTTAAAATGGAACATAAGGTGTTAGTCAATAAATTGGTATATCTACAGGGCCATTTTATGCATAAAGTGAACCTAGCTCTTTATATTAGCTACTGTAAAGCACACAATTTCATGGGAATAAAATTTTGTTGTTTTGTCATCTAATTAAATTTCACTGTCTCAAAAGTAACATTATACAATGTATAGTCTCATATAGATGTGCGAGATTCAATTTTTATGCTTATAAGTTGACAACAAAATAAACGAAATTATAAATCCCCAACAAATATATCTGCTTTTACAGTATGTGAAATAATGATCTGTTAAAATGTATCAAAAATGTTAAATTGGATTACACTTTCATAAAAAGTGGAAATTAACTGCTTACTTCTGCAAAACATGCTTGGATTTTCAGAGTTATGCCCCTTGTCTATAGTAATTCCTATACATGTAGGTACCGGTACTGAAATCATGCTAAAATTATGCTTTTCCTTCATTGGATGTTCTAAGGTTTTTACTCCATATATTTCCAAGATGTTAGATATCATTTATCACTCTCATTCAAAACTTAATACCAGTGTTAAAGTTTTTAAGAAGTAGTTCAAACTTTTTGGTCCTGAGGTCATTTGGAAAGGTCTTAAGTTGATACATGCAGGTAATGCATGTGAAATATGAAAGCCCCATTAGCTCTAATTCAAAAGTTATGATGAAGGATTTTGTATCCACATGCTTGATACTAAAAAGAGGCTTTTTGTCAAGTAATAACTATACGTGAGCACGGTGAGGGTGGATCAAGTGATCAGGTCAGACTGATAAGCTGGTCAGAGAAGGTCAAGAGGTAAAATAATGTTGATTTACCCCAAAAATGTTGGAATACCTGCTAAGAAAGTCTTGTAAATGTCACAAGGAATACACATTGTCAAGTAAAAATTAATATGAAAGCCCTAGCCCCAACCATTCAGAAGTCATGGTCAAGGTAAAATTTTTTTCTAAAGGTTAAACTCCAAGGGCATGATGTCAAATATTTGGCCTCAAGAAGTATAGTGAAATATGAAAGCCCTAGGACCAACTATTTAGAAGTAAATTTTTCCAAAACTCCAAGGTTATGAATTGTGTTGGTACTTGAAGAAAGGTATTGTCACAAGGAATACGAAAGTGAAATATGAAAGCCCTATGTATAGCACCAACCTTTCAAAAGTTGCGGTCAAAAACTATATATGCTTTTGAATCTCTGATTATGGGGGCATAAAAATGACACTCTTCTTAATTTTATAAAAAATATTTATTTTGTAAGAAATAGTAATCAGTAATGTTTTTGCTGTAACTATAATCATTAAAACATTTCATTTAACAATATTGATATTGATGCAGGCATATGTATATAGACAAATACTGAATAGGCCACTTCTCATTTTCTATTTTAATGACTCCTCTTTCATTACAGTTTTAAGTTTGAATTCCTTATTGTTTGAGTAGTGAATTAAAATAAATTATTCTTTCTGTATGTCCTACTTTTTTAAAATTCAATCGTTCTTGAAACAGAAAATAGTTACATATACATGTATGTGCAAATAATACACACTTCCCAATATCAATGAGTATTATATAACTGTTATATATACTCAATATAAAATTTAATTGTTATAATTAGATTTGTAAATTTTTCAAATTATTGTTTTTACATACTCGTCAAACTGCTAAACATATAAATGCTATATTTCATGTAGATCTCTAGCAAATAAAAAAAAGAACTTCCATCCTTTGTTTGTCACAATTTTGTCACATTTAAATTATAAAGCGTCCTTTTTTGCACTTGTGTCCTTTTTGCACTTGGTGTTAAATTGTTTATTTACTGGGCTGGTATTGTTCTACTCTCTCTAGCAGGGTATCGGAATAGCCAGGGGAGTAGTATCTACAATAAAAAAGACAAAATTAAAAACAGATGTAATTTATATTCTGGTGAGAAATTAATACTTTTGCAATTTTCGAAATTTAAAAAGCTCACTAGAAGAATCTTCACTGATTCAGGAATTTACAGAATAATATTAAATTTATTCCAAGACTTGTTTAAGATTAAAATGCGAAAATCAGGGAGAATTTTTTATCAATTTCACCTCAAGAATATAAAAATTTTTTGAAAATAAAGTTCAAAAACATTTTGTCTAACTGTTATGAAATTATTAAGAATTGATGTGCTAGGATTAAAGAAAAGAAATGCAATTTACAGTAATGAAGTACTTACTTGACAATTTCTTCTGGGTAGCAGTTATTAATTGTGTTGATGTATTCTGCGAGGGCTGAGCCAGGTTCGGCTTTGATTTCTTGTATCTTTTTAAGTCCTGCACTTGTGACAAAGAGGCGTCTGGCTTTGGAATCGTGTGGTAAAACTTTGCTGAACTGTCCAACAACGTGTTTGAGGATATTTGGTGGAGCATCGTGGAGGAGTGGTTCCAGTGCGGGGAGATGGACACATTTCTGTAGGATGTTTTTCAGGGCCTTTTTGCTCTAAAGATAAATTGATACCATTTAAATAATTGACAACTTCCATCAAAAATAAGTAAATCATGCTTACATAAAGATAACTTAAATTTTTGAAATATTGAAGACTCATCTAAAGGTGCAATTTGAATAACCATTGCACATCTCTCACACATTCCAAAACAATTTGCAACATTTGAAAATTCATTTTTTAAAAAAATTATTATTGAAAAAAAGTTTTAATTGCCGTTTTTTTTTGTTTTTTGTTTTTTGGTAATCATATATTTCGTTAGCTTTAAAATAACCTTGACATTTGACCTACTGACCTTTGTCTGAAGATCTTCAGAGGCATCTGCTCTGAGGTAACACTGTAGTAATTTGGGTAAAACGTTAGCTACTGCCACTGCCTTTGCATGTTCAGGAGTGTGGCGACCTATCTGTCCTAGTGCCCACGCCGCTGCGGCTTGTATATGATCTTCTGGTTCCTCTGACAAAGCAATGGCAAGCTGAACCACTCCCTGAAAAATTATATTAAATTTTTTTAAATACAAATTCCGCAAGGTAGAAAGCTGTCATAAAGCTATTTCCAACACTTAGCTACATTAATGTATGTACAATATAAACTACATGTATTTAAGTTTATACTGTACTTTTTTTTTTAAATAATACAATACATGTACATATATTATAAATCATCCTTAATTATTTCTTTTAAAATAAAGTAGCCACTTACAAACTGTTTGTATATATAAATGATTAAAATTTTTAACAAACAAAATTTTCCTCTAATGTAAAGGAGAGAAATGAAGAGTTAACTCCCTTAAAATCTTCATCAATTTTAAAGGTTTGATATGAACATTTCAATGCATCTGAAGCAGAACTATACAGAATTTCAGTTTCATTTGATTCCATTTACCTTAGATACAATGACTGCCATGGCTAGATTTTCTGAGTGAGCCGCTACGTATCCCAGCATCATGATTCCAGGAAGTCGTATATTTCCTTTAGACTCTCCAACATAATCTACGACTGCAGCCACACCTCCTGCATTCACGATCAGCTGAGCCAACTGCATAATACAAAAAGAAATGATTGATTAATTTACTAAATCACAAACCAATTCAACTTTATGTTTATGCATTGTGAATTGCAAAAAGGAATAAAATTTTGTCCAGTGATAATTTTTCTATGTAAACCTTTGGTTTACAATATACATCCATACAAATTATGTGTAATAAATTAAATACCAGAGGACAATTTTTAATTCATTGAAAAAATGGTCTTAAATTGTTTCTAAACACTATTAAGTTTTTTCTTATAAAATTTAAGGCTTATTGAGATTAAAACATACCTCCGGAGTGTGTTTAGCAATTTCTCTGATCAAGGTGGCAACATTTTTCTTAACATACTCATCTGGGTCCTTCAGACAGGTCAGAACTGCTGGGAAGATTTCTGCTTCCACGACCATTTCTGCTAGGTCAACAGAGTGTTTGGAAATCTGACTCAGAGCTGAGAAAACTTGACGCTGTGGAAAAAAATTATTAAAAATATATCTTAATGGTTTATTTTGAATGATTAGGATTTTTTCACATCTTGAGTAAAATCAGCATCGAAACAAAAACAAGCAAGCTTAAGTCAGGAAGTGATAAAACAAAAACCTTTATATTGGCTGATCTCTTTTACTAGACATCTACTGACATGTAGAAAATAAAGCTTTTTAAAAAATTATTCAAAATCACAACGTTTCAATTACAACAATTCCTTCTTCAGTACATAGTAACATCTTTCAACTAACCCACCTTGAGTTTAGCGTCAGGATTGAGAATCATCTGAGCCAGATGAGCAATGGCGCCAGCATCGACCACTGTCTGAGCCAGTTCTGGTGAATGTTTACAGATGTCACTAAGAGCAGAGGCAGCGATCCTCTTCAGGGACAGTTCTGGTTCCTGGATACATAAAACAAGGAGGGGGACTGCCCCAGCATCCACAACAGCCTGGGCTAATTCTGAAGGAGAGATGATAATGTTCTGAATAAATTTCTGTCATCAATGCCCTCTTCCGATCCTCTTATTACTTTTGAAAATGCAGATATTGAAGGAAAAAAGTACTTAATTGCATTGGTACAATATTCGATCCACATATCTTAATTGATACTAATGTTCATGAATTACTTCAAATGATAAAAATGATAAAACTTGATGACAACAAAGCCCAATATTCCATTAATTCTGCTTTCTTACAAATATGTATTGAGATCAGATATACATGGTACATGTTTCAATATACATGTACTGTAAAGGTACTTTTATCCACAGAGTCCACGTCATAATTCCACAGAATCACAATTTTTGTTCAATCCGCAGGTAGAAAATTACATATGGATTTCTTGAACTGTCATTCTAACTTTTAAATTTACTTTTAGTATATGCTGTGGCAAATTTCCACAGAAAATTTGTGACCTTGTACATAACAAAAATTAAGCCACTTCACAGAAAAAAAATATGTCTACAGTAACTTGTAGTATAGGTGCACAGACCAGGAAGGCACTCTTATTAATATAACTAGCTGTTTCAATTTACCTGCATTGTGACGAGCAATATATCCCAGTGCCCATGCAGCAGATTCCTTTACTCCAGGGTCAAATTCCTCTAAACATATAACTAAAGCATCAAGGGCCCCGCAATCCACAACAGACTGAGCCAGCTGGGGGGAGTGTTTGGCAACTGCTCTCAGCACAAATGCTGCTGCCTTTTTGTAGAATCTCTGAAAAAAAATATTGATTTATCTTACGTACTGTATGTTTACAGTGAGTTAATCTGTAAAATATTATCATTGTAAGAAAGTTGTTAAAATGGTTTTGTTAGAATTGATTACATTAAAATGATACAGTATTAACAGAATGGTCTATAGGGATGGTTGATACTTTAATTAGCCTGAATTTTTAACATTTCAAGGACATGAATTTTGGGTCTCTTTACACTAGGAAACCATTGAAAATTAAACCCCTGTTACAATATCAGTCATTTGACATATATTTATAAAGGTTTCACTTGTATTTCAAATTAAATCAATGTACAGGTGATCTTTTTGTTGAAAATATATTAAAATCTTAATAATTTAATGACATAACCGTAATTAGTGTGTGTAGAAAAGCGATAATCTTACATTCTGTTCAGCCAGGGAATAGACAAGCTGGGGTAGAATATCTCCCTTTACAACAGCTTCTGCCAGATCATCATTGTAGTTGGCCAGTCTGCCGAGAGCCAGGGCAGCTGTCTGTTGAATGGTTGGAACTATGTCCAGTAGGAGCGGTCGGAGAAGGGACATAACTCCAGCATTCTGAAGAGTTTCAATGTTCTGGGGCCTGCTGGCTAACTCGGCTACTGTCTGAACAAATCCTGTTCTAGCCTTCTGATACTGCTCAAAAACTGCCAAGGAAAAAAAAAAAGTCCATGTCCTCATTACAAATCATTTTGATGGAACAGAGACATTTGCTAAAATATTATATTGAGTGACAGTGACCGAAATGTAATTGTTCGCACGATCTTCTAAATCATCTATTAATAAATGAATGAACAAAGGTAAGTTTGAAACAATTAATTATTTTTTGTCAGCATCTTTAAAAATATCTGAACCAGTCTTGCAAATCATCATACATGTGATTCTTCCGGCGGGAGACAAAATCTCCCGATATTTCACCCCCCTTCCGCCCCTCCCGATTAATTTTTAAATCTTCCGTGTTTTAAAATTCTTCAAATTAAGTATTATTTGCAATATTTTTTTGATCGTGTTTCATTTAATTGCTCAGAATGAAAAGAAATTGAGATAACAATGCCAGTGCATTAAATTTTCACAGCGGTAGGCTTCGTTGGAATCAACATGAGGTCGTATAATTATGTTGTAAAAATTAGTGATATATCAACTTGATAAAAGACCATTGATGTTTATTACTGAATGCAAAACATTGTAATTAGTTGCTAAAATACCCAGTTGCCATCTTCTAATGCTGCTTTGGTCATTAAAAGATAGTTATAATGTAGGTCACACTCTAATTAAAAATAGATCACACTACAGGGTGTTGCTAAAATATACCTGACTCTAATTTGTTTATTTTTTTAGAGGGTACTTTTTTTTCATCTGTTCATATTCTATTTAAAAACAAATTACTGACATAGAATTTGTTACATAAAACCTAGCTATGTTTTACTTCACTTACTAGTTGATATATCAATTACTAAATCAAAAATAAAATTTTATCCAATGTTTTAATGATGCTGTTAACTCTTAATTAATTTACTAGGAAATGAGTTGATTTCATTTTGAATACTCAATTTCACTTCATTTGAATAAAAACTTTATCATATTTTTCTTAAAACTTGACAACAACTTTATAAAATAAAATTTGTAAAGTAATAAACGGGGAGAAGGTATTTTTTCCTGAATTTTGGGGGTTGGATGGTCTTTTGCGATTTGAAAAAATGTCGATAAAAAATCTCCAGCTTTGAGACCCAAACTCCAGCTGAAAATTTTCAAATCTCCAGTTGTGATTTTTCAGTTCTGTCACATGTATGAATCATACATGTAATGTAATGCACTGGATAAAAAAGGAAGACTATATCTTAATTATACATGAACAATTCCATACCTTGTGAACTGAATTATGATTTTTAAGTAAATGGCATAAATGTAGACGTTTAACACCTTGTTTTGAAAATATGCAGACTAAACTATATTTTTTAAGTTTGGTAATTAATTTGCAGAATGATAGCTTAAAGATACTTGAGATGAATGTCTAATATTCTGCTAATGAAAGATTTTACCTTGCAAAACCTGTCTTTGGCTCATTTTGTCCTTTGATCAACACTAAACGCTAATACGAGTGTTTTCTTTACTCCTAGTTCAGCGGTTACTATGTGGTCGCTATGTAAAGATGGTAACAAATCAGGAACGAGCTTAATAAACTGGTTGTCAGCTTGAGAACAAAAAAAAAAAACGAAATTTAAAAAAAAAAATCAAAGTCTGATATTTAAATAGATACTTCATTATAAGTGAATATTTGTAGATGTTTCAGAATGATTAGAAAATCTATTTATTTAGAATAAAATATGTAAAAATATATTCACTGCAGAACTGCAACAATGGCGCTCTCCATCAAAAATTTGTCGTCCTTGAGAAACATTTTTCCTTTTCGTCAATCTCATATGGTAATTAATTTTTGAAAATATGCAGGCTATGTTTGTGTGAAAGAAGCAAATAGAATGGGTGTTATAGAGTTTCCCCTTATATTTTCCACTTTCCAGGAGTACACTAATCATAGTCCGAAATATCTGACGTTTTCCACAGGTCCAGTACAATCATTACATTTAGCTACGTAGCTAACATTACCTACCGTAGCTGTATTAACCTACCTCAAGTAGCTTTATTTAGCTATTTCAAGACAACTTTTCACAGTTTTGCTTTTTATTTTAAACAGGTTGGGCACCATTCCCCCTTTCAGTAATTGTTACGCTAAAAGGGAATTGTTCCTCTTTTCAGTAATAAAAAACATTACTGGGAATTTTCACTCGTTTACCCTCTATTCTTGTGTTTGCTTTGAGTAAAAGATTAAGTGCAAGAATATTTTCACATCCTCTAAATTATAATATTTATAGTCTATTAAGATGTAAGCTTAAAACTACTATACTTATTGCTGCAAAAAGCTGAAAAAGAGTGGTGAAATATTTCTACGATATAGTTCACAATAGTTTTGTTTGTAAATTATAGATCTGGTTATTCCTAATAGTTTTTAGTTAGCATGGTAAGATTTTGCTATGCAATGATTATTTTCATTGGTTGTTAAAAATATTTTACATATAGACCATGACATTATTTAGAAGTAAATTTTCTATCATGCTAAGGCAAGTTGGTTGTATGTTCGTTTGCCCTAAAATTTGTTTGCCTTTGATGCCGTTCGCCCTAATTCTCGTTTGCCGAGTCCGATCGCACTAAAACTTGTTCGCACAGGGTCCATTCACCTTATTTATATTGCAGAAAGTTGACTAATGAACCAATGGATTTTTTTAAAATAAATTATATGTACGTATACATTGGTACATAAATTGCACACGGGAGACAACAGACATATGCATGTGGTCACAAAAAAATACCTCTCCTATCAAAGACCCGGCAGACCGATAGAAATTAACATCTCAGTCCTTTACATTGAAATTGTTTTTGAAAACATAACACAGATTGTAAAAAACACGGATATGATCCCCTAAATTACAGTGACTTTATTAAGTATAATTAAACCAATTAAGCATGTAAAAAGCATTAATATCAAATATGAATTGTTTAATTAAGATTACGGTAAATAAAAAAAAATACTGTAGCAACATTTAAAAACAAGAGGCCCATGGGTCACAGCGCTCACCTGAGTAACTTTGGCTGTTTTTCACCTGATTTCTCTCCCCCCCCCCCAGTACTTATTGTGGCCCCGCCCTATCCCCAGAGGTCATAATTTGAACAATTGGAATCTACACTACCCCAGCATGCTTCCAAGTAAGTTTCAGCTTATCTGGCCCAGTGGTTCTTGAGAAGAAGATTTTAAAAGATTTTTCCTATATATTTCAATGTAAAACTTGGATTCCCTATTGTGGCCCCGCCCTACCCTCCAGGGGTCATGATTTGAACAATTTAGAATCTACACTACCCCAGCATGCTTCCACTTAAGTTTCAGCTTTTCTGGCCCAGTGGTTCTTGAGAAGAAGATTTTTAAAGATTTTTCCTATATATTTCAATGTAAAACTTGGCAGGGGTGTGCAATTAGCATCGCCCGACGCCCAGGGCTACCATTTTTTGGGGTCGGGCTAGTTGTTCTCTGCATGCAGGTAGCCCCTTGGGCTAGTAAAAATTAAAAAATACCAATGTTATAAATGAAAATCACTACCGGTATTTTCACTTATTTTTTACTATTAAGTTCCCAACCAATGAAAAATTTCCAGGCAGAATGCTCCTATTGTTCATAAATCTCCATAATCTTATCCATTTTGCAGCACTTCCTGACTTATTTACTTCCAAAAACGATCGTTTTTTTCGTAATCCGAATTTCCTCCATTCATGTGTTTATGGTAAATAAAGGCAGATATCTATTATTTACGATCACTCAATCAACTGAAAGATAAGTATTATGTGATTTACGTGTACATTAAATATATTTCCAGTGTATTTAACAATTTAAGATAAAATAAAAAAAAGATTTCACTTCGTTTTAGATGAGCTAGTGCAATATGCACAGAGAAAAGGAAAAAAAATAACTTATTTAAATTCATTTTTATTTTCTATCATAATTATTAATTTATACATGATTCAATTTTACTAGTGAGAATAAAACTTTAATTTTAAAAAGAATTACCTTAAACCCTTGACTTATTCAACAATAATTTATTTTTTCGTAGTTGTTACATTTCCCACCTACATTTGGGCTAGTAACTTTTTACTGTGGGCTAGTAACTTTATTGCTGCCACTAGCCCGTGGGCTAGTACTTGATTTTTTTAATTGCACACCCCTGCTTGGATTCCCTATTGTGGCCCCACCCTACCCCCCAGGGGTCATGATTTGAACAATTTAGAATCTACACTACCCCAGCATGCTTCCAAATAAGTTTCAGCTTTTCTGGCCCAGTGGTTCTTGAGTAGAAGATTTTAAAAGATTTTTCCTATATATTTCAATGTAAAACGTGGATTCCCTATTGTGGCCCCGCCCTACCCCCGGGGGTCATGATTTGAACAATTTAGAATCTACACTACCCCAGCATGCTTCCAAATAAGTTTCAGCTTTTCTGGCCCAGTGGTTCTTGAGAAGAAGATTTTAAAAGATTTTTCCTATATATTTCAATGTAAAACTTGGATTCCCTATTGTGGCCCCGCCCTACCCCGGGGGGTCATGATTTGAACAATTTAGAATCTACACTACCCCAGCATGCTTCCAAATAAGTTTCAGCTTTTCTGGCCCAGTGGTTCTTGAGAAGAAGATTTTAAAAGATTTTTCCTATATATTTCAATGTAAAACTTGGATTCCCTATTATGGCCCCGCCCTACCCCCGGGGGTCATGATTTGAACAATTTAGAATCTACACTACCCCAGCATGCTTCCACATAAGTTTCAGCTTTTCTGGCCCAGTGGTTCTTGAGAAGAAGATTTTTAAAGATTTTTCCTATATATTTCAATGTAAAACTTGGATTTTCTATTGTGGCCCCGCCCTACCCCCGGGGGTCATAATTTGAACAATTTAGAATCTACACTACCCCAGCATGCTTCCACATAAGTTTCAGCTTTTCAGGCCCAGTTGTTCTTGAGAAGAAGATTTTTAAAGATTTTTCCTATATATTTCAATGTAAAACTTGGATTCCCTATTGTGGCCCCGCCCTACCCCCAGGGGTCATGATTTGAACAATTTGGAATCTACACTTCCCCAGCATGCTTCCAAATAAGTTTCAGCTTTTCTGGCCCAGTGGTTCTTGAGAAGAAGATTTTTAAAGATTTTTACTACATATTTCAATGTAAAACTTGGATTCCCTATTGTGGCCCCGCCCTACCACCAGGGGTCATGATTTGAACAATTTAGAATCTACACTACCTTAGGATGCTTCCAGATAAGTTTCAGCTTTTCTGGCCCAGTGGTTCTTGAGAAAAGATTTTTTAATGACCCCACCCAATTTTTTTATTATCTTGATTATCTCCCCTTTGAAGGGGAGTTGGCCCTTCATTTTAACAATTTAAACTTCCCTTTACCCAAGGTTGCTTTGTACCAAGTTTGGTTAAAATTGGCCCAGTGGTTCTTGAGAAGAAGTCGAAAATGTGAAAAGTTTACAGATGGATGGTCAGACGGACAGACGGACGGACAACCGGTGATCAGAAAAGCTCACTTGAGCTTTCAGCTCAGGTGAGCTAAAAACACCAAGTCGTAAAATATTGAATAAAATTAATAATAAATATTAATATATTTACTATATACTGTATATATATTAGGGCGAATGAGATACAGTATATGGCGAACGAGATATAGGGCAAACAAGAATTATGGCGAACGGACCCTGCGCGAACAGACTCATACGAACAGGTAGATAGGGCGAATGATCCTGATACCAGGCAAGTTTAATACAAAATGAAAAGAATGACTGGACAATTCTTGAAAAATTTGTTTCTTATTTAAAAAAGAAAGAAGAGGAAAATGTATATGGTTTGTAATCAAATTTTTCTTTTTTTGAGCAATAAAGTAAATCACAACATTTATTCTTCCCATCTTTTGCATCATAGATCAGGTAAAGATGACTTAACACTGCTGGTATCAAATGCTAAAATCTTGACTTATTTAAGAGAGATTACTTCTTATCTTTTTCTTTTCCTAGTAAATTTTACGGTAATGACACAGTATTGCCTCTTGTGATTGGTTCTGAAAGACTTTGAATTGAAAACTTATTTAATCACCTGAAAACTATAGTTTACAGAACAGGTGCGACCAATTGCCCCACTGTTCATAAAATGTTGGGGCCATTTTGAAATTTTAAGGGCTGAGAGAAAACACACTGAGGCCATTTTAAATTATATCAAAGTATGATGATATGATTATTAGCTAATGATTATGCATAGATCTATCTCTGACAAAAAATGTAGAGAAAAAAAAATGTGCCAGGAATTGACAAATCACAGAATCTATATATCTGACATTAACTAGGGGAAATGATTTTTCTGAAGAACTTTGTAAATCATTCATCATCTATCACAGAGAGTATTTAGAAAAATTAATCAATCAATCTGAAGCAGCAAAAAAAAAAAATTTTTTTTTAACAAAAAATGCAGATTTAGAGATTGAGGGACAGACCTTCGTATATGTAGATATGTAGCCTTCGTTGACATCGCATTTCATTGTAAGGTAACAATTTCCGAGTGCCTGACTTTTGTTTTAAAATTGTGATGCTGTGGTTGACCCTCCAAAACAACTTGACACTTATAAGTCATGTGAAAGGAAAAATTTCTGTTTCTTTGCTAGTGGAATGTCTAATATATTGAATGGTGGTTCCAATTTTCTTATATGATACATCACAGATTTCATCTAACTTCGATGAAGACTACTGATACCACTGAAATTGATGAACTTACAAACTTGAAAATCATAATGTGCCTGCATTTTTACAAATTATATATATGTTGGGTGTGCCACATGGGCATGGCACAGTGCACCATACATTGTATTTGCACAATGCCATTTTTCGGCAGTACAGTCAAAACTTCTTCAAAAACCACTCGAAATCAACGGCCACATGCGGTCAGTGCCCACTTTCAGTTCTCCCCGACGATTTTTCTTATATATTTTAACTGGAATAAACGGCCACCTGTGTAATGTGGCCAGTGGCCACTCAAATCTTCACCCACAACCTTATTTACACTGTAATAGGTGGCCATTTAGTCCATTGCTGCAATTCTTTCACGTCTTTTAAACAAATTCGCTTGGATAATAATATGCTCATTGGTCAACTTTAACCTATTAAAACATCTAAAGCATATGGCGCAGGCCCAGCCTGAAACATCCAACAATTTATTATTTACTAAATAATCAAAGTAAAAATTAGGACTGCACCCCAATTTTGTTATGTATTGATTTAATACAAAAGTGTGGAGTAAAATATGGGTATAAGATAATAAAAAATTTTGTTATGCCTTTAAAAATTGGTTCCTATATAAATCTCTACTAAATAGAGTCTAACATTTCCAATGTACTAAGCGGTCATAAAAAATAGTTTTTTGACCACTGAGTGAGATATTGAACCTGTCGGTAAGATACTGGACCACTTCCATCACACTGTAAATTCATTGGTGTTCGACAGTATTGAGTAACTGAGTTTAACTGCAGTGTGAATAAAGGAAATTTACATCATGGAAGCCAGCACAAGATACATGTATGTAAAAAAAATGTAAATAAATAAAAATAAAAGGTATAACTGTTTCAAAACTTTTATCGACTGTGTTCTCTGGCAAAATTTGTTTTGTCAACCTGTCGAACTAAACTGTTTGCCTTCGGCCTAATGATCTGAGGCAAACAGTTTGGTTCTTGGGATCGACAAAATGCATGTTGCCCTAGAACCCAGTCAATAAATGTATAGTGTTACAATAAATACTTCTATAGCTTACAGTGAATTACAAAATACCCGTAAAGTTTTCAACAGCTTGCTGGATAGCTCAGTAGGGTATACAGTTTGGTCTATCAAGTATCACATAAGGTTTGAATCTAGGTCATGAGGATACTCAGGTGTATCATTAGATTTTACAGGTAAATGTGAGTAGATTTTAATGTTGTATGAAGCCACATTAATGTGCCAAGGTGTTCTGCTGTAAATAAATGCAATATTTTTCTTTAATTGCAAATATTTTTTCAGTAAATTTGCAGCATTAATGAATGACACCCCCCTTTTCCATTCTTGCAAAAGGTATTGTTTAAGAAAGTTAAGAAGTTAGCTCACCACTCCATTTTTTCTCACCTTATTGATAAACACAAAAATATAATGTAAAAATATATTAATAAAATAGATAACTTTATATAATAATATAAATGAATTTGTCACAGCATTTTAAAATGCATTAAGGACATAAAATGACAATAAAAAAAAATCCCCACAATTTTCTACCTGCGGATTGAACAGAAAATGAACTCGGTTGAAAAAAGTATGTTTACCGTAATCACGCTTGTTATATAAGTCTGTCTTCATCATAAAATATTTCAAACTGAAATACTAGCTAGAACAAAAAAGACTCCAAAGAGTGGATAACTGGATATAAATATAGAGGACTTTATGCCTCAATAATTACTGTATACAGGGTTATTTTCACCCCATGTTATTGTCGTCCTTTCACACTTTTGTCACAATTTTGTCCCATTTTAATTTCGCCCATTCACAGTTTTGTTTAAGTAATTATACTGTTTTCTTTGAATCCGCCCCGTCTTAAATTTGCCCACTTGTGTCTAGGGCAAAAGAGGCGAAAATAAAATGGGGACGAAAATTTCCCTGTATACAGTAACTATGGCAATGCATTATCATTTAGAAGGTTGTACATGTACCTCCTTTTGCATTCCTTTCTTTAGTTAACACGACATTTCAATTCTTTACAGTGTTTAATGGTTCGTCATAAATATTTCTTCAAAAAATATAATCCAGAGGGCGCAGTGTATAGAGAGTACAAGAATGAAGTCGTGAAGAACACGGGGAAAGTTTACGACAAAAAACCGGCCAAGGTTGTCCTTAAGCCTGGAAAGAAATACCACTGGTGTTCCTGCGGCTATGGACATTCACAGGTTTATAGAGTTTATGCCATTTCTTTTTACTGTGAACTCATTAATCTTTGTGGGGGTTTCATTTTCATTGTATTCATGGTATGAAGAGTCCCACAATTTTATATTGCCCACAAATGTGAAAACTGCACACTGCAGAATAATGTTTCTTTTTTAACCACAACATCAAATCCACTCAAACCAGTAATTTCATATTGAATGTTTTTTATAACACGTATAGTAAATTTCTTGTTTGTTTGTTATATTATGATCATAGCCGAACAGTTAATCACTTTGTTGTGCTAGCATCTGTTGGTGGAGGTCACAATAAGGGATCAATGTTTTACACAGAAAATGTAAAAGCTCCAGAGATCTTCAAACACACATCTGGGTGATTGTTAACCTTGTTACCAATGACACGGGAATGCTTATATAAAAATATGCCCAATCATAACCTTACTGTTCTTCAGAAAATATATTTATATTTTTCTTATGTAGTATATACATATTCCCATGTACCCAGTAATCTTCAATCCCAAATTGGAGCTTCACCTAAGAACTATTATATGAAAAAAATAAATCATATAGTAGCAGTTTTCTAAATATGGATACATTTAAAAATACCATTACTTTATACTTATCCTGAATCATATCTGAATCATTTTCACACTTCTAAGAATATATTGAATAAAACCAAATCACACAAGGTGAAATTCCAAAATTGTAGTTTATTAGGGTACACACCTTTCATCCATTTTATGGGGAGGGGATTAAATATTGTGTTGTTTTATTAATTTGCTATTAAAAAAGGACTGAAAATCACTAATTCAGTGTAAAACACATACTGCTAAAGAAAGGAAAATGATGGTTACATGTCACATTATAAAGGGAGATACTGCTACAGTTATTGGCTCATGGAAGGTCTCTTTAATCTTTTCTGAATATCCTTCTTGTAGCCTCTCTGTGACGGGACACACAAGACATTGGCTGAAAGGAGGTGGACAAAGGTGAAATTCCATCCAAAAGTGTTCGAAGTGGAGGAAGAAAAGACCTACTTCCTGTGTAACTGTAAACAAACAAAGAATCCACCATTTTGTGATGGAACACATAGAAACAAAGAAATACAGGATAAAATAAAAGGATGATATTGCATAAGTTTGAAATAAAAAGCAAAGAGACATATAAACAATCCACCATTTTTGGTAAACAGACAGAAGAGTGATTCATTCAGTGAAGCACATCATGGTTTATTCTTATTAATGACTGTGATTTATAAACTGCAGGAATATTTTAGAAATATTTAAGTCCAAGTAAAAGTCAAGGATCTATTTTACAAGAGGACTTGCACCTTAAACCAAAATCCCTTTTTTTTTTAGGAATAACTTCTTCTTTACATGAATTAAAAAATTGTATTTAATGTTATATCTTTGTTTCTAAAAAAAGAGAATTTTTGAAAATATCTTTGTTCAAACAATTTTTAACAGATTGATTAATATTCCAAGATTTTACAATTTAATGATATAAATTTTTGGTCTTTGTTGTAAGTTATTCTGTAAAATGGGGCCTTGGATATTTTTATTTATTTCTAGTCTCAGCAGCTATAGACTTATCTTGTGAAAATCATAATTAAAAAAGTACTCATGGTTTTTATGCAAATTATGAAATTAATGCAAAATATGATAGCCTGTTGTTCAATTTTACTTCATTGCACTTCATGTGATAGCTATCATTAAATATAATACATGTATTATGTACTATAAATATGTACTATAATAAATGTATGCTGGAGAGTTATAACAAAAGAAATTTTGCTTGAACCAAATCTAGGATCTAAATAATTGTTATAAATAAGTATCTGGTAGGAGTTAATAGTTTGTCTCCAGCTTGAAGTTTAATGGCAAAATGTAATTCTGTAAAAATGTAATAACACATTTTATAAATTCCTCTTAGTACATTTTGTATTGTTACAGTGCACCCATAATATTTCTATTAAATGTGTGAGAGTTATTTGATGACGATAGCTTTGTTAAAAAAAAAAATAAGTATGGCAAATTTTGTAAATAAAAGGTTTTATATATTTTCTGAGCTTCAGATGAATTTTAAAAATAATTTTGTCTTGCAGATGGGGATTCATAAATACTGCAAAATTGAAGAGGGGCATTTAATGAACAAAAAAATGTCAAAATTGTTGAAGGCAAAACAAGATGTGTTTGTGAAACACTGATGCCCCTGTATGGCAACTTATATCAAAGGTTGAACTTTCTCAAATGCAAATTAAATATGTTGGTACCCAAAGTAAGATCTTGTCTCGAGGAATATACCTGTGAAATATGAAAGCCCCAGCAGCAACCATTGAATAGATATGGAAAATGTTAACGTTTTTTCAAAAGTATGTCACACATCAAGGTCAAGGTCAAATGGTCAAAATTAATGGTGCCCAAGGAAAGGCCTTTTCTCAAGAAATACACAGGTGAAATATGAAAGCCGAAGCACCAATCATTCAAAAGTTATGACCAAGGTTAAAGTTTTCCAAAAGTAGATCAACCTCCAAGGTCAAAGGGTCAAAGTTGTTGGTATCCTAAGAAAGGTCTTGTCACAAGGATTACACATGTGAAGTATAAAAGCCCTAGCACCAACCGTTCAAAAGTTATGGCCAAGGTTAAAGTTTTTCAAAAGTAGGCCAAACTCCTAGGTAAAGGTCAAAGAGTCAAAGTTGTTGGTATCCAAAGGAAGGTCTTGTCACAAGGATTACACATGTGAAGTATGAAATCCCTAGCTCTAACCGTTCAAAAGTTATGGCCAAGGTTAATGTTAGATAAATTTTGCAAAACTGGAACAAACTCCAAGTTCAAGGTCAAAAGGTCAAATATGGTGATACCCAAAGAAAGGTCTTGTCACAAGGAATACACATATGAAATATGAAAGCCATAGCTCCAACCAATCAAAAGTTATAGGCAAGATTAAAGTTTTTGCGGACAAACAAACAGACAGCTAGACAGACAGACGGACGAACAGGGCAAAAACTACATACCCCTGAATCTTCGATACGGGGGCATAAAAATCATAAGTTTGAAAACAAAGTTAACAGTGGTATATAAGTTGATGGTAAAGCAGCTTTAATATGTATATGTATAAATTGATTTAAAAAAAATGCTTGATTTATCATTTAGGTATAGTTTTAATTTATCTGTGCATTTACACAGTCCACAGGAAAGGGTTACCTCTGCTCCCCATCTGAATATCTAAATAAATATTATCAATGCCCCTATATACCGGGTATATATATATATATATATATATATATATATATATATATATATATATATATATACCCGGTATATAGGGGCATTGATAATATTTATTTAGATATTCAGATATATATATATATATATATATATATATATATATATATATATATATATATATATATATATATATATATATATATATATATGTTTAGAGCATTAAATAGAAGACATTTAATATCCTATCCAAAAATTAGAAACGTTATTCCACACTGCAGTAACCATTTTATGCATTATAAACATTTTTTTTTTACTTAAAGTCTTCTTTGGATTTTTCTTAATACACATATTATTAACAATGAAAAGGCAATTCTTCAAAAATGTAACTTATCTCAACAGGACCTGTGCAAACATTTATAGAAATATTTGTTAAAAATATAATTCATTGAAATTTCAGTTTTATGTTGTAGGTGCTTGCAGTAAAAGGTAAAAGTATTGTCTGCAAGTTAACACCATTTCTGTATGGTTTGACACAAAATGGGTTTCTTTGGAATTGTACAAATCAGAACCTGGACTATATACCTCCAATTTCATTTTCCCCATAGAAGAAATATCACCGCAGTCAATATATCCTACAATAACTTGAGACAGATACGGCAGAATAACTTGAGACAAATACGGCAGAATACATTTGTTAACATTTCTTCTGAAGTAGAAATCTTATTATAATGAACAATGATAAAATACAAAGAATTAAAGCAAATGCTTTCAATAACCTTACTCATCTCAGAATTCTACATATCAACAACAATTCTTTCAAATCATATCCAGACGACGAAATAGCAAAACTGGAATCGTTAGTTAACTTGACAATAGATATATTTCCAGGGTTCAAATTTGGAGAAAAATTTCCTACGCTATCAGAACTACGCTATCAGAACTTAGTAATATAAAGTTTGTACCAAATGGATTACTGAAATTGATGTCACAGTGTTTTATGATATTGGATTAAAAAATTCAATGCACTGAAAATTGACGATAAGGAACACTTTTTAGAAGTCCAACTTAACATTACACATTGAGAACAGAACAAACAAGGATCTCTGGAAACATCACAGGTATGAACAGAGGTGTAAGCACCCCACTATCGGTGAAATTTGTGATAATGTGGTTTTATTGATTTTTAGGTTGATCAGATTTCAAGCAATTGGCATACAGAATCGAAAAATATCAGAAATAATCAAAATTAAAAAGTAATTCCTAGGTAACTACCTGTCCTATTGTACAAGGTGTTTCATAATATATGCTATATTTTGAATCTAAAATTCGACACACACAAAAACAAGATACAGACAAATGTTTTCAGCAATTTGATGCATGTCGTCCATTAAATTCATTGTGTACAATTACTAACTAAAATATTAAACACTGGCCAAAATCTCAAACTTAAAGGAAAATTAGCGAAATTTCTAAATTGCGTCATTTTTGTTACATTGAATTTTACAACGTCAAAACTTAAATAACGTGATCAAAATGAACTCCTCCTATGTCAACTGCAAGCGTCTTGATTTTTTTAATAATAGTGTCCCATATTTTAGCTGAAACATTCCTCATCTGAAGTTTTAGGTTTTTTCCGAGCTCATTCAGTATCTATGGTTTAGGATTTTAGACCCTGTTCTCAACGAATCTCCAAAGAAAGAGGCCTAAATATTGAGATCTGGTTAATGCAGGGGTCAAGCTCTTTCCTTGGGGTGTTGCATAATTGGGAATTTTTACGTTGACAACTTAACTTTATATTTCAAATTTCTATGTACTCTGTAAATACTGATATTGCCAGCATCAATTTCTGAAAAACATCTTTCTGACACTTTCAGGACGAGTTTGGAAAACTCTGTAGAGTCTCGTCCTTTTTTTAACCTATCGTGTAATTTCTCCCATACTGCAAGTCCCTCTTCTTAAACTTTGTTACTAGCCTTCTGATTACATTTAAGAAAGCTTCCATTTTTTGGAATATTTTTCTTCATCAACTCCTAAATGAATGTTTGCGATTTGTCTTGAAAAACAAAAAAAGCTGTAGACATGGTACAATTCAGCAAAATGAGGATGAATTATATATGTCCATTTTGAAGAAAAAATATTCAAATTACATGTATGATATTGGCGTTGATTCACAATTAAACATTAAATACCACAATTTCCTTGACTTTATCATATAGAAGAAAAATACAGGATTTGGTGTTTCAAATGATATATGATTTATGTTTAAAAAAAATGATAGGTGAGAAAAATATTTAGATTTAAAAATGTAACATATATTATGAAACACCCTGTATAAGTACAAGAAAAACATACACCCTGATCACATATTTCCGTGACTTGGCTCAAGTAAACCACAAGTATTTAGAAAATTAATGTCTATTCAGTTTTTGTTAACCTAGGATATGTTATAAACAGTATGTATTTAATACGGAGAGTGCAATATATACAGAAAAAATCGGTTATAGCGAAGTCCTGGGGACCGTCGAATTTACTTCGCTATATCCGTAATTCATTATATCCGTATAACGAATTCGATAAAATATACATAGCGATTTGGAATATAGAATTTTTTCATCAAGTATGACAACTAAATGTATTATGGGAGGTATCAAATACAAAGGTTACCTTGAAGTTCAAAAGTTTTCGTATGAAATGAATTTCAAATGTAAATGCTTACTAAAATATTGTCAGTTCAATATCTTAAAAATTGACATCTTTGAAAATTCGTTATAAAAGATGAAAATGTCGGGGTTTTTTAACCTCTAGAGGATACAAAATCAGTTTGCTGTATCCGAAAATTTGCTATATACGAGTTCGTAATAAATTTTCGTTTTATAATTTTACAGGGAACTGTTATATTTTTTTTCCGGG